ACTTGTCCAATTCTTCTCTGGATTCGGGTAATAGTCCAGGATCCCTTCTAAATTTTGCCCCCCTCTTCCCCATTCCTTTTTCCCCCTAGACTGGTTTAATCATTGGTTTCTGCTATTTGCAACCAAAATAATCTTAATGAGTGTGAACCTATGCTTTTGGTGATGCTATTTTATTTATCTATATCCTGCTACCTAGTTTCAGAAAAAAATTGAGAGAAAATTTTAAAAAGTTAAGTACTCAAAACATCCTATAAAAGAACTGAGGCTTCTAGTTCTGATGCTGTCACAAATGCGGTGTTATTTTGGAGAAGTAACTTCACATCTCTGGGCGTCAGCAACGAAATTGCTGAGATTTCTCTAAAAAAGAGAAAAAACAAACAATACAACTGGACTTCCCCTCTAATCAGGGAAGTTTTATTATTTCACTGGTGTTTATTTTATTTGCTCTAATACTTTAAAAAAAGATCTAGATATAATCAAATTTTCTTTGAATAGAAATTAGAAATTATTTCTTGGAACAATAACGAAATGTTGAGAAGCTGCCCAAGACTTGAAAATATACAAACTTCTGCTGTGGGCTGAATTCTTACTCTCTTTTAATCTGAGACACACTCTACATTAAAGAATTCATGAGAAATAAGTGACTGGCACTTCATACGAGTTAAGGGTTTGAACGAGGTGAAGTAATAAGCAAGCAGGCAGGGTGTGTACCAGCATTGTCACGTGACGAGACAGGTATGCCAAGGAGGAGGCTGCAGGTGCTTGCTCCCACTCTGAGTCCGGCTCGGGGTGACACCTTTAAGAGCACTCACGACTCGAGTTACAACGCGGACTGCTGGGCCAGTAACCGAGGTTTTGGCCTGATCCTCGGGACCTTTAAAGCAACTTTCCTGATTCACGTTCGCATTACATCTGTCTACCCTCTCTGGAAAAGGAACGAAGAGAATATTTCCACAAAGCAGGTAAATCATTTCCAATATTCCTAGTGGTCTCCACTCTCCTCTTTTAAAACATTTTCCTAGCAGATTCTTGCCTGTGGTTTGCAGAGTAAGGCTCATCAACACAACGCCTGGCACCCTAACAAACCAGTTAGGCAAACTTGCAATCTCTCTAAAGAAGGTGATCTTCATGTTATTCAAATCTGTGAACTGATGTTCTGATTTATAGGTCATCTTCAGAAATTTTAGGAATAAAAGATCATGCTCAGATTTCAATAAATCTATAGTTAGCATTCGATCACTTACCTCAAAAGTAACAAAACTCCCAAAAGTTTCTGTAATATGCTTTCTTATAATAGTATTCAAATTACGAATATGCCTAATGCACTGGGAATTCCAGTCTTAAACCAAATATTGAAACCATAATTTGAGGACTAGAATTCAGTGA